TTTCACACTTGAAAGGTGCAAAATGTGGGACTGGTATTGTCCCTTTTATAGCAGAATTTAATTTTTTTTTATACATGTACAGTTTTGCTAATACATGTACTGCACTGTTTTGTTTACAGGCTTTCAATCCTGACACTGAGTTCCAATTCAAGAACAGAACAAAGCACTGGGACAAGAAGTATTATGAAGGGGTGTTTGGAGCAGATGATTGCTATGCCTTGTGTCCACCAAGTTCGGCCTATTACACCAGTCCTTCCTATAAGGTACTGGGCTAGTGTTCTTTTAATTTTACCCACGAAAGGAAATTCATACTTGGGCCAAATACTGATATTGCAAGACCAGCTAAAAGTTTTGGATATTAGTCCATCGCCATTGCCAATCGTTATATCCCAAGTTACTTCTCAGTGTTATGTTGGGTTGCTGTACAGTTTGCTGCTACTTTTTCTTTAAATGCTTCTTAGTGGAGAGCTCTAGATTGTCTGAAAGAAACATTTCCTGCCTAAGAATGTAAGACAGTGGCTCCAGCTGGTCAGTACTCAGAACTGGACAGCTTGATTCAGAACCAACTTTAACTTTTCTTGCTGACTGTTACACTGTAGGTGACTGCCTCCCACCCACCCCCCACCCCCTGCCAAAGAAATTGAATAAAAGAAATTGAAGCACTTGAATGTGAAAATTTGCATTAAGGTGAGGGCACCTCCTACCCTACAGTGTATAAATACATGACTGTATACCCATAATTATATCTGGATATTTAATTTCTTCTCCTGTTTTAGGATCCATATGGTTGGCTGGTAAATTTGATCAACAAGGTAGGTACATGTACTGCATTGTACATTATGAGATCATATTTTCTTTCATGCTATAATAATGATCATGCATAAATTGTATAATAATTTTGTAATTCTGGTGATTAATAGTACAATGTAATAATTAAAGGCACATGTGAACTTAGTCAATAAAGACAATTTTCTACAGTAACCATAATTTTGTTTATTTTTATAACATGTTTGCTTACAGTAATTGTTAATTGCTACATGCATTGACAGAGATGTGCAGTGTATAGGGTGAATATTGAAAGGTCTCTTCTGTATAAATTTGCAGTTTGCAGAGCTCGGTGGTTTTGAAGAAATTAAGAAACAGATTGAAACAGCTGAAAAAGTGGATGCTCCGGTAAGGTCTTCATATACATGTTGTATGGTTATCGCCGTGATACTTGATGAAAGGTCTCTAAGTTACTGAATGTTTCTTCTCTCTTGTTGTTGCTTTTTCTTTTAACAAAATTAATCTGTCGTTTGTGATTTCAGATGCTGGCAGCACTTTTGAAACCCTTGGGAATCTGTGCCAGTTACCTGAATGCCAAAGTCCTGCCGGTAAGATTTCTCAACTGCTGCGACTGTATAATCATAAAAATGTTTAATTTTTAAAAGTATTCATAAACTAAAGGTAATTACAATATTACATGATTGTGTAATTCTCACACAATTGCGTCCGGTCCCTTTCTAGTATAAACCACTCTTCATTTGTGTTTTTCTCTTCAGAAAGTATTCAGTGATGTTTTTGAGAAGACATTGGGTTATATCCAAGAGCTTACTAATGAAGACATGAAGCAGAAGGTAAGTGGCTGATGTATTGTTTTATGGAAATCAGTAATCAGTGTTCATTAAGCAGATTGTAGAGGCCTTACTTGTACAGGTATGTGCCACTTGGTATGAAGAGGGAAGGGTCCTACAAGTGTACATGTACTGTATGGTCAAAAACCTGTACTGGCAAGCTTGTTTGGTCGAGGTACATTTATATAACTGGAAACTGGCTTCATTCTTTTTTTGTTGTTGCCAGAAATTTATATCTAAAACACTTCCAATATCCAACAATCCTTCTCTCATGTTTGGTCCATAACATGTATTTACTGTGCATTTTTTTTAACAGACAGTTGGTGATGTATTTGATCTTTTAACAACTCTAAAACTCTTATGCATGAGACTTTGGCAGAATATGGTGTCAGGGGTTGATGAACTGAGATTGGAGGTTGCCCTGAAAAT